ATCGCATCCCCAAAACGGCCCCAGCCGCACAGGACCACTGCTGGCAGCGCAGCAGAGCTGACGGTTATCCACAACAAATACGTCCTCCCAGAAAAATGTATTTTCGCGTGGTATGTCTGACCTGCCAAAATCACCCCCCCTCTGCCTCCACTGCCTTCCTTCTCACAGACTCGACAAGCGGTGGATGCAGCAAACAAGAGCCACGGTGGCCACTAAGATGCCGTTTAAAATTACATTACGTGCCGTTTCTGTAGCGCTGGTACCAGCCCATCAAGCGACACACGGCTGCGTGAAGGTGGCATGGCTGTCACTGGCAGCCCAAGCGCTGTATGGCCACGCTAAAAAACCCAGAGTTCAGTGAAATCCTCCCTCACTACCATAATTTCCTGTGTGTCCTTGGCTGCTGCTCCCAGCTTCTGGAAATGCCGAATCTTTGCTTCCCTTCACTTCGCACCAAAGCCCCAACCCATTTCCGATGCAGAAAAGCACATTTTCTGGGTCATTTTAGGGTCAAACGCTGCTTTAATCTCGATCAGTGCAATAGGACAACCCCTACTCTGTTTTACAGCAGCTGAAGGATGTATTTATATTATATCCTCCATTATCTGATTGAAATAACTCCAGAGGCCAAGGTGAGCCATAAGCCCGGTCTGGGAAAAGAAAAAGTCTGGAGGACCACAAGGAGCTGCTCAACAGCCCAGCACCTTCACATCCCAGCTGGAAAAATGCAGCTGTGCTGCCCATTTTGGGCGCTGGTCCCCAGGGGTGCCCTGCCATCACCTACCACTGCAGATAAAGAACAGCAGACCCCAATGGGGCTGAAAAGGGGTGAAGTTTCATGTCTGATCTCCCCCTCAAGAAGGGGAGGTGGGGCAGAAGGAGAGGGATGATGAACCACAAGTTCCACTGTGGATTTTATTAAGCAAGAAGAAATTTCCACAGCAAACCCACACATACAAAGAACCCCTGGCCCCGTGGCTCCCTGCCCTTGCACCTGCAGCACTGCGGCTCAGCCACTCTGGAGCCCAGTTTAATTAACCCAGGCAGCAATCACCTCCAGATACGGTGCAAACAGCCGCCGCTTCTGCACTCCCAGGATTCAGCCCCTTATTCCCAGTCATGTAATTTTTTGCCCAAGAAGGGGACAATTCCTATTGAAAACCCAGCACAATCACGCAGATTTCAGCAGTTTTGATGGGGAGGGGCTACAGGGAGACATGGCTGGCCGGGGTAAGCCCCCCCCCCCACCAGCCATTCCAGCCCGGATAACATCCAGAGGTACTTCCCTGCCTGCTCCCCTGGGTATGCAATCACGCATCGCCTGGTCTCCCAGGCATGATGGACGTCCCATGTTGCCCATCAGGAGACCAGTTAGGCACCAGTACAAGATGAGATTTCACTGTTGCATGTACCCAACCTGCCACTGGGCTGCTCTGTAAATTACTGGCTTAGCTTCAGTCCAGGGCAGCCTTAAGACTTTTAACCTTGATCTTCTTGTAGGATTTCCCTAC